TTAGGCCACATCTGGGTTTTATGGCCCTAAGGAGGCTGCAGACCTGCAGAGACCTTTTGTACATTTTAAAATTTAGTTCCTAAGAAGCTCCCTTTGAGTTAATACGTTTCTGTTATTACTGACCAATAAAGTACAATTGGAGTTTTACTATTTTCCATTACTATTACAATTAAACCACCGAATCATTGCCAATCTTAATATAACCAACATGAGATAATCTTCGCATTTCACTAAAACTAGAACAATCCATATCCTCAACTATTTACGAACAGTCATCTAATCTAGGTCTACCTCTACTCCTCTTAACTCCTGTCTCTGACTCTAATATGTCTCTGACTAGACCTTCACGTCTGAGAATGTGTCCTACCAACCTATCTCGCCTATTTCTTATTGACTTCCATAGAGTCCTCTGTTCTCCTGTTCTTTCTAATACCTCATCTTCAGTTCTAACCTTCTCTATCCACGGTATCCTCATCATTCGCCGGTAACACTACATTTTTTAAAAAGTATTGAAGAACTAATATTAAAAATTGATTTAACGTCAAAGTTGTCTTTAAAACCGATGTTTTTAATCAAATTCTACTGTAATTTCTTTAAATTCGAAGCAGGACGTGACACTGCGTTTTGCCACTTCTAAAGAATTAGTTTCTAAATAAATTGTTAGAGATTACTTTAAGTTACTATTCATAATTTTTAGGTCTTTTTACGAAATTCTTTTGGATGTTGATTTGTAAATAAGTGGTAATATTGAAATGTTTTGAAGATTTACTGAAAATTATCTTACATTTTTTGAAAGCAATGTTAAAAAAGCTTCATAATGGTACCTAAATTGTAGCCAACATTGAAACTTTGTTCAGTTTCATTAAAAGATTTTTGCTGTACATTTTTCATAATCCCCGTTTTCTCTAAACAAAGTTCATTTTTTGTATTGCCGATCAGTTGATGGGAATATTAACGACACAGTAGGTTCTCAGAGTTTTTAAACCTTTAGATTTATGTAGTTTTTAAAAATTTGTAATCACGAATCGCTCTAATAATAGCCGTTGCAATCTCTTCTTCATTTCAAGACGTTTATACATTAAATTTTTGTTTTTTATTTTATTTTATGTCTGTGTCTGATGTACTTTCAGCAGTATCGTAAATGTTAATGAATTTTTATACGTTTTTAAATGGCGTGTTGGCGCAGATTCTACGCCTTTGCAAGGCACTTACAAGTTTCATTCTTTCCGAAACCGGCGAGTTTCGAATACCTAATATTATCCTTCAGTTGGTATACCTACATACGTACACATTATGCCGACTATATATGTACGTATCTGTAAATGTGTACGGGTTCTCCCCTATTGTTGTATTGTGATTGTCCACGGTACGTTGGTGGAATGCGTGTGTGATGGACACACGGGCTCATGGGTCCCACAGCATGTCGACCTGAAGACCGGGCAAAAACTGAAGACGCACCGCGTCCATTTGTCCATTTAAGGCCCGGGTACAAATCGAGCGAACACGAATAACAATTAGTAATGAATTCTGGCAAAACGCAACCGACTCCTTTGTGAACAATAGCCGTAACACTATCACACCAATGACCACGTACTTATTTTATATGCTTTAGTAGATATCTGTCGTCGATTCTTTCTTTATACGACCAACTTTAGACGATCGCGGATTGGAATGGTATTGAAATAATTACTTCATATTACTGTGTAAAAAGCAATCACGGAAGTATTGTAGAGATACATAAAAATTACACTAATGGCCGATGAGTAGTTCTTCCAATACAGTAGAATCCGTTTATAATGACATCGAAGGGAAATGACAAACACGTGTCATACTAAGCGGGCGTCATACAAATCGTAGTCTCAGAAAATAAACAACTTTCTATATTGGTTAGTTATTTAGTTTAATAGAGAGAAAAACTACAAATTGGGTATAATTATTAACAGAAAAAGAAAAAGAACGATGAACTGTAATATCAATATACATAAGAAGAGTCAGAAAAATAAGCGAAAATGTTACTATTAATCATTTGGGTCACTATAGCCGGATATGATTTCTTGAGAATCAGTCATAATACACGATATGTCATTTTAAACGGCGTCATTATATCCAGACTTTCCTATAGAGAATTTAATATGAAAACCAAACTTAACACTGCAATTGCTTCATATTAAGCGGTTGGTTAATATAGGCTGAGTCATAATAAACGAATTCCACTGTACCTTCATCCATCTTTTCATATAAATAATAAAGTAACATAACTCCAATAAATAGAATTTAAAGCTTTTGAGGGAAGATTTTGAGAGTTCCGTCAGTTTAGGACATCTGCCAGAAAAGTAGCTAAGTGATATTTTAAGATTGCTGTAATTGAAGAAATAGTCCACACGTTCATACACCAAATTATGCATTAAGATTAGAGTTGCCACCCGTACTTTATTATAAAGTATTGTACGTTATTTAGAGTAATTGTACTCTATACTTTATGCAACAAATAATGTACGCGAAAATACTTTATTTCACATGATTTAATTTCTCTGAGATTCGCTTAAGACATAATATACAAAAGAAGGGCATAAAATACAATAAGCTGTAAAATGCTTAGAAGGTAATTGCATAACAACTTTAGATGTTTATAAGATTATGGATAATCTTAAGAACACAAAGAAAACAACATCTCTTCTTTAGCAATGAAACATGCAAAAAAATTAGGCTATTCTCTTCATCTGAACTGACAAGCAATATTCACACAAATTTTTTATTTATTGACAAAGCCTTAGAGTACTTAAATAAATGGTTTAACTGGTTATTTACACTTAGCAATATAAATTTAAAAAGCAATGTTAAATTTGATAATTTTGTGAAAATAGTCGAAAATTTATATCTGCAAAAGTTTAATGTAAATATGGATGATCTTTACGGAGAAAATTCTTCATTAAACAAATTATTTAATCCGATATATAGCCCTAATTGTTTTGCGGAGTTATCTGCTTCACAAAAATGACAGCAAATATTTAATAAGACTGATTGATTTTTCAAATTTGTTTAAATTAATTTAATTTTTACTGTCGATTCCCGCCACATCAGCATTTACAGAGAGAGTTTTTTCTGTGATGAATAACAAATGGGAAACGAAAGAAATAAGGCGTCTCTAAATCTGATAAAAAATGAACTACTTATTTACTTTAACTTAAATTTAAACTGTAAAGATGCTTCGCAGTTGTTTAGCAGTGATACTTATTTGGTAAAAGTTGCTAAAAGTAATGAAAAATATGTTTTTAAGCAAAAAAGAGTACAATAAATTGCACAGGGTACTTTTTCTTTTCTTTTTACCATTAATAACCGACATACTTTATTTATATAAAAAAAGGCAACCCTAACTAAAATATTTATTTTACTGACAATGACTTTGACTCACATTGATAATTTCCAAACGAGGTAAACTGAGTTACATATACCATACGTATATAGCTTAACTTCGTAGGGTACAATATTACATTTTGACTAAGCCATATACAGTAAGGCATATTCGTACATTGTACCTGCATTTTTCGCCGGTAACAAACAATAAGCTACATGTGACGTTCACTGTTGATTATTTAACCGTGTACAAGATAAGATGTTATAGAGCGACGAGAGCTTTAGTATAAATACATTGCATGTGTTTGTACATAGTTACATATCTGATTTGGCGGATCGCAATCGCATCTGATTTGCGATACAGATGGGACATAAATCAAAATGCAAGATATTATCGAAGTGTGCGCCTATGGTAATAGCGGCGTAACGATTTTTAAGTGTGTCTATAAATATTATACAGAGAAAGATTCATAAATGGCTCGATCTATGTTTGCATTATATTATGGATATGCAAATTGAATCTGCATGTGTATAGAGACTTCTATGGGGAGTATTTTCGCTAATACCATTACATGGCGCCGCGCCGTGTCTTTCAATGTAGATATACCGAGCGTTTTGTAGGTTAGAACGTAAAAATGGAACATATATATCCATTCTTTCTGCTGATCACTGGAGCAATTGTCCCAAAGAAGCGAATTTTATGTTTATTTAGGAATATAATTGGTAAAGGTCTACATGATGGCCCCCACCCCCTTCGGTGGTGGGTGGATCGAAAGAAGAGGTCTCCCCCACCACTGTACCGTGGCGGTCTCACCCCCATATAAAGTTATGGGGGTTCAAAGTTAATAAATATGCCAATTTTTATACATTTCTAGGCATGTAAATATTTATATACTTAGTCATTCACATAGGTTAGATTAAGTTATCGGGTTTTGTTCAAGTGACCACCCTCTTTCGATCCCCCACCTCCACCCGCTTGAAAATAATTGTTTTATTGAATTTTATTTGAATTATAGTGTATGAAAATTGTCAAAATAATCAACTTTCAACAATTTTTTTATGGGGTTTTACTCAGGTGACCACCTTCCTTCGATCCCCCCTATCCCCACCCCACATCATCTAACCGCCATAACTTTTAATGAGAGTGAGACCGCCACGAACTTCTTATGGTACAGTGGTGGGGGGACCTCCTCTTTCGATCATCTAGGCCTTTACCATATAATTACTCCACCATATTATACATTATACATATTGCAAGCCAACAACACCAGCATGAATTTTAATTGTTTTAATTACTGAGCTTACCATTAAAGGTTGAATTTTCCTAACGACAATTTTGTGAAGGCACAAATTTTAAATTAACAGCATTTTAAAAACTTATTACATGGTTTTTATTACAATTTAACAAATTGACTATATTGGAGAATAGTTATAATATTGAATATACTTAATGTATTCCGCAAATCAAAGAAATCACAATCTGTTAATTAAATAACATTGAAAATCAGTGTGTAGGTGCATCGTAAATTTAAATTAATTGGGGGACTGAACTAAATTTAATGAAAATCATTATTGGTCAAATGTAATTAACATAAATTAATTACCATAAATTAGTCTACTAATCGTTTTTTTTTTCTTTGTTACAGAAGAGCAACTCGCTTTTTATTGGAGCTCCAGGCAGTTGGTATTGGCAAGGTGGGTGTTGTTTTTTGTAAAAAAAACTCGCGATTTGGAAATATCGTAGCGATTCTTGTTTCTTTTGCTAAAAAATTATGTACTTCGCTTCTTTGAGGTTGTAGAGCGTTTACAAAGAGAGAAAGACCTATGATTTTATATGTGAATAGTAGAAGAAAAGCCACGATATTGTAGTTTTTCAAATGAACAACATAAATTTGTTACAGGCCAAATGTATTCCATCGACGTCCGTGCTAAATTTTCCTTCACTCCGGGATTGTTTGGAGGAGAATTCGGTTCAGGTACCAAATTACCTGCGATTTTATCATAACAATCCAACAAATAACAATCTAAACTGCCAAATAATCAAACGCCTTTTAGCCTGCATTAAACAGAAATTAAATAAAATAACCGACGGTGTAGGGAAATAATTCGAAAAGAACCAATCAGCGGCTCTTTTGTCAAAAAGTTATATTTATCTGTGGACGCTTTTCCCCTTTACCCTTTTTTTTTCGTTCACTCAGTCAAAAATAAACAATAATTGTGAATTTCAATGTACTTGCATGTACCTTTTACGTACATATTTTCGATTTTTTCTTTCAGAATGAAGTAATAACAAAACTGTTTTTATAAATTACGAATAAAAAATAAATTAATCATACTAGTTAGGTAATAGGGAACATTCCCTACAAAAAATCCGTACATTGAATTACATAAATATACATTAATGGATTGAAATAACTCAAACTAGCGAATAAAGGACAGAGCCCTTAGATATATGAGAGAAAAAGTGTTTTCATTTGAATATTAGAAATTCTAATTGTGATAATGAAAAATAATTTAAACTGAAAAGAATATTTTATTTTGTTGACTATTAATTAATGAAGAGTTTTTTCTTGTTACTTTCAATGCACTCTTAAATATCTTTCTAAATTTTTAAAATTTGTTTATTTCAAAATATTTTTAAATGCTCAGTTTATTACAGTAGTAGGTAGGCTTTGCTAATTAGATTTAGGTTCCTTCATTCTAAAAATTAAATATTCTATCAATAATTTTAGAACATCCTGAAACATCCATCACACGTCCACAATATCTACAACAATACATATTATACCGAACCCAATTTTTTAGGGTTCTCTTTATAATTTAGATGTTTATTTCTGTTAGATAAAAATTTAATCTTTCGGGTCGACAACTCCAATTTGATTTGGCAAAATTAAGTTTGAATTATCAAAAAAATGGACACAATCCACCCGTAAAGCTCTTACAGATATTAAACAATTCATGTTTATTTTATGTTGCCCTCACCATTCAGAACTATAAGCGATTGTGTTATGTATAGTACAATATGACTGTAATCATGACTGTCAAGAATAAAGGGCAACAATTTATCTAAACCACTAAGCATTTGTTTCGATGTGCTTTAAACATACATACATATATCATAACGATAGGTATCAAGATGAACTTTTATATCGTCTCGTTTTTTTTTTTACACTACAGCAATAACTGAGGGCNTGAGGAGCTTGACGAATCAGTCTATAGAGATGGCATTAATAGACTGGAACACCGCTATGAGAAATGTATCAGCCTTGGAGGAGATTATGTTGAGAAATAAAAAAAAAAAATTTTTAAAAACCTTGTTTTTCTTGGTCAGGCCGGAAACTTATCAATCCACCCTCGTACTTGCATGTACCTTTTACGTACATATTTTCGATTTTTTCTTTCAGAATGAAGTAATAACAAAACTGTTTTTATAAATTACGAATAAAAAATAAATTAATCATACTAGTTAGGTAATAGGGAACATTCCCTACAAAAAATCCGTACATTGAATTACATAAATATACATTAATGGATTGAAATAACTCAAACTAGCGAATAAAGGACAGAGCCCTTAGATATATGAGAGAAAAAGTGTTTTCATTTGAATATTAGAAATTCTAATTGTGATAATGAAAAATAATTTAAACTGAAAAGAATATTTTATTTTGTTGACTATTAATTAATGAAGAGTTTTTTCTTGTTACTTTCAATGCACTCTTAAATATCTTTCTAAATTTTTAAAATTTGTTTATTTCAAAATATTTTTAAATGCTCAGTTTATTACAGTAGTAGGTAGGCTTTGCTAATTAGATTTAGGTTCCTTCATTCTAAAAATTAAATATTCTATCAATAATTTTAGAACATCCTGAAACATCCATCACACGTCCACAATATCTACAACAATACATATTATACCGAACCCAATTTTTTAGGGTTCTCTTTATAATTTAGATGTTTATTTCTGTTAGATAAAAATTTAATTTTTCGGGTCGACAACTCCAATTTGATTTGGCAAAATTAAGTTTGAATTATCAAAAAAATGGACACAATCCACCCGTAAAGCTCTTACAGATATTAAACAATTCATGTTTATTTTATGTTGCCCTCACCATTCAGAACTATAAGCGATTGTGTTATGTATAGTACAATATGACTGTAATCATGACTGTCAAGAATAAAGGGCAACAATTTATCTAAACCACTAAGCATTTGTTTCGATGTGCTTTAAACATACATACATATATCATAACGATAGGTATCAAGATGAACTTTTATATCGTCTCGTTTTTTTTTTTACACTACAGCAATAACTGAGGGCAGCAGATATGTCAGTTAGATAAAGACATGTGGAATTTCAGTAGCCTTTTGTTCTAAAAGATTGTGATAGTATCGTGTCTTCAGAGAGACCTACTTTATTTGTTTTCATTGTTATTTATTTCGTAGGTACCTGGCATGACATAAACGAACGTGTTTCTAAATTTTCCTCACGTCATTAATTCAGTAGCATTAAAATCTAATCTTAAGTCAGGTTGGATTTTCGTGCAAATTATATCACTGCTTTAATACGATGTATTTGCTTGAGTGTAAGGGACTATTTAAAAGGTGTATCTGTAGGGAAAAATTACAAGTCTACAAGAAATATGAAAATTTCATCATCATAAGATCGTCAGTCCTAAGACTGGTTGGACACGTACCTCAAGATGTAGAAAAATATTTCGTATTGCTAGAGTTGCTTTCTACATTTTTCGTATCTTTTCTTGAAATAGTAAAACTGCTGGCTGAGCATTTTTATTCTAAAATATGATTAATTTACACGCAGCTAATAGCAGGCCTTTTCAGCTCGACAACACATGTAATGTTAAAATTCACCACATCTACATGTAATACATCATTTTAATTTGATTGGCAAATAATTATTATTATCGTACTGAAGTTTAATAAAAGGTGCTTGTTGAAATATTAATTGATTAATCTGTTATTCACACATGTTATTTAATAAGAAAATCGTGAAATCGGGAAATACAAAAGTAAAAATGGAAGCAAAACAAAACGAAAAATACTTAATTTTATTTTTATTATCTCAACTTTCGAAACATCTGAGTTTAAGCAGATAACAACATTAGGTTGAAATGAGTATTTTTGTTTTATTTTGCTTCATTTAACGCGTTGATACTTAAGTTCCTAATTCACGATTTTTGCTGAATTAATTCTATTTGAATAATCAAATTTTAACTTGACATTTAGTTTTGTTTTCTAACGGAAGGAGCTAAAAGTACTGACTTTAATATTTTACATTCACCATTGCTATAAACGTATTTAAAGTATTTTTAATTTTTAATCAGAGCTAGTGTTTATTAATATGATCTTTAATTGCGTCTATGGCAGGGTGTTATGATTACCTATAAGTTAAAANCACGATATCCTCATCATCCGCCTATAACACCACATTTCGAACGCTTCTAACCTTTTCTTTTCCGCCGCTCCCACTGTCCATGTTTCGCACCCGTACAACGCCGTGCTCCAAACATACACCTTTAACAACCTTTTTCGAATTTCTAAATTAACGGTTCGCGAGCATAGAAGTGACTTCTTTTTATTGAAGGCGACTCGATCCTGCGCTATCCTCTGCTTTATATCCCTACTACTCCTTCCGTCCAGATTTATCTGACTTCATGGATATATAAAATCAGCCACTTCCTCTAATTTTTCATCTCCTATCTTTATATTCGCTATTTCCCTACTTTTTCTTACTTTTATTTATTTTCATACAATACTGTTTTGTCAATACCGCATTTATTTACTTTTTTATTGGTTTCCTATAGCCGATTTAATTTTTATAAAAGGATCAAGTTTTTCAATATTACGGTTTTCGCGAAGGTTTAATCATAAATAATTCTCCTTCATGATTGAATCAATATCATTATGATCCTTTGTCAAAAAGCCCCTAAAAGGCGTGAGGTCCATGGCTCATGCCTACTCTGCCTTTTAAGTATTGTAGCACTGGCACTGTTTGTAGTATATAATGTGTTCAAGTTTATTAAATCATGCCATATGGAAACTTTAATACAATCGTGTACTTATAAAGCTGGATTGTAAGAAAATTAACCATGTTTAGTTCCGTTTGTTAGTTATCCAAGGTAGTTGTTATTCACAATATCATTAGCTGGTAGTTGATTCACGTGTGATAACAAAATTTAGAGCCACGAAACTAGAACCAATCCACAGTACTAGTAGAATTCATTAGATGCGCCGATCCGCTCCTGCTATTAGCCGAAATTTGATAAAGAATACTTTTTCCAGGACAGGTGATTCGTCAAAATTTAGATAATAGACCTGCTGCTATTTCGACCAAGGAAGGCCCACCAGAAGATGATGACACCTATCTGGGTTACTCATTAACAGTCGGTGATTTTACCGGGGCTGGCACTGAAGGCGTTGCTGTTGGAATGCCTAAAGCCGCTGATCTTAAAGGAAAGGTCAGCGAACAGCTTTATCTATTCAGGCAATTTGTCATTTGTTTTAATATTGTAGCACTTACTCAATTTCAATAATTTGAAAATAAATACTCGAAATATTTTGAACAAATTAAAGCAAATGATAAATGCTGCATTTTTAGTGTCTATTTTACTGACACAAAGTAAACAAATTTTTTTGTTTGCGGAAGTACAAGATTCTATAAATGAAATTTATATTATCTTTTAAGATTGTTCTGTTTACTTGGAATCTAACAAATCACCAAAACATAACCGGAGAACAGTTAGGTTCGTATTTTGGGTACGCCTTAGCGTGTGCAGATGTCGATGGAGATGGTCTTGACGATCTCATCATTGGAGCTCCATTCTTTACCGAACCGAATAACGAAGGAAAATACGAAGTTGGTCGCGTTTATGTTCTATATCAAGGGGGAAGTGTTGAGGTAGATTCTTTTTTTTTTTTTTTGATAGAAAATGTTTAGTGAATCTGACATTTTTGTTTGACTTCATTGAAGGGACGTTTCCATCATCTTCACATCCTCGATGGAATTAATTCAAAATCAAGATTTGGCCTTTCTCTAGCATCATTAGGTGACATCAATTTGGACGAATTCGGGGGTATAAATAAAAAAAAAACTATTAAAATTAAAAGAACTACAATAGTCTATTTAAACGATTCTAGATTTTGCTGTGGGTGCTCCTTATGACGGTCCTCATGGTAGAGGTGCAGTATACATTTACCATGGTTCAGAAAAAGGTGTGAGAAAAGAATATTCTCAAGTTATTTACGCAGAGGACGTCGCCAAATTTTCGGGATTGTCCGCGATAGAAACGTTCGGATGGTCTCTAGCAGGAGGACTTGATATGGACGAAAATGATTATCCTGATATGGCCATTGGAGCTTACTTATCAGATACTGCGTTTTTCTTTAGGTAATAATAAATTAAAAAAAAATATTTGATCCAATATAGTACAATTGAAAATACTTTGAAGATCGAGACCTGTTGTAAATGTGGATGCCCAAGTAACGTACTTAACGCCGCACAAACAAATAATATTAGATGAGAAAAACTGCACCTTAAGGAATGGTCAGCCCGTTCCATGTACCAGTTTTAATGTATGCTTGAAATATACTGGAGTAGGAGTACCAAATTCGCAAGGTAACATACAGTAATAAACACGTTAATAATTTCTATCATGACGCAAATATTTTACTGTTTAGTGTTTAATATTGGCTACGTTTTGGATTCCAAAAAAACTAAGGGTCAAAGAATGTTCTTTAGAGATATGGAAAACAGATACGTCTTTAATGAAACATTGACTTTACGAAAGGATGACACATCTGTTTGCAGATCTAAAGCAGTTTATCTTACTGTAAGTTAGTAATTTTTATTTTATATATACATATATATTTTAATTTGGTTGTATATTACAGAACGAAATTCGAGACAAATTAACACCACTTGAAGTTGAGGTCCACTACTCATTAGCTGGATATGGATATGGAGAACAATCTTACAGAAGAGACTTCAGGGCGCAATTAATTCCAATATTGGATTTAAATACACCGCCAATGCGATCCGATGCAATAAGTGTTCACAAATTTTGTGGACCCGATAATGTCTGCATACCTAATTTACGTCTCTTAGTCACCACGTAAGCCTTCAATTTTTCATTTTGTAATGATTACTCACAATTTTAAATTTTAGAAACGTGCAAAGGTATCTTCTGGGATCTCACGAAAAATTGGAACTATATGTGATTGTCCAAAATGATGGAGAGGATTCTTTTGAATCATCATTTGAAATTCAGTTGCCTGCTGGCGTTGACTACATAAAGGTTGTTGAGTATGAAAAAGATAAAGTAAGAATATTTTGCTCGCTTGCTCCAAATAATACAGTCAAATGTGACATTGGAAATCCACTTCCTGCCCACCGGAATGTAAGTAGTTACAGTATTACTTTTTTATATACTTATTGCATTCGAGAATTGGTATTTTTTTAGGCAAAGTTTAGAATCATACTCCAACCTTATCATACAGAAGGAATGAATGCCACCTATGATTTCTATATGTCTGTTAATAGTACAAATCCCGAAGAAAGTTATACACTAGAGGATAATAAGCATTTCTTGTCAATTCCTATTTGGGTAGACTCAAAACTGGCATTGGACGGGTAATCTAAAAGTCGCCTTACTTTCGTTTATTCATTAAAATACACATTTTTACTTTTAGAACTTCCAAACCTGCGGACGTCCACTATAATTATTCGTCATACTCTTTAGATAGAATATCACTTGAAAGAGATATAGGACCTCAAGTTGTTCACATTTATAGTATAAGAAACAATGGCCCGTCTAGTATAAACGAAGCAGAAATTTTTATTTTATGGCCTCTGACCACTTTAGCTGGTGACGATTTATTGTACCTTTTAGAACAACCACAAACTCTAGGAAACGTTAAATGTGAACCTGCTAGTGCAAATTATAAACATTATGGAGTAAGTTTATAAACAAAATGTTCATGATTCAAACAGCATTATACATATATACTTATATATTTTATTTTTAGTTAGAATACAGAAATAGAACAATTTGGAAAACTTACGGAATCGAATTAGGTAGTGAATCAGGCGAAACATTCAGTGCATCAACTGGGAAAGTTACGGTAGAAGAGGGAAAAACGAACTTCGCTCAAGTTTCTGGAGAGCAAAAACAAGTAACTAAGGTGGGCACAGATGAGAGTAAATTTGATACTGGAGACGCCTCGTTCGTGTATAGTCAAAGACACAAAAGTACTCAAGACAAAAGCAACACAGGCGAAAAGGTTGTTCATGTATTGGAAGATACAGGCAACGGTTCAAAAACCATCGTAACCGAACATAAATGGGAGGCTTCATCAATTGGAAGTGGTCCAGTAATAAACAAAACTTACACACGGCAACATACTTATTATGGAAGGCCTGAAGATCGTAGCAGAGGCTGGGTAGATGCCTCGCAACAGAGTGGTACTAGTAGTGGAAGTGCTTCATATGGTGGTTATTCTGGCAGTTCTTCAAATTCAGGAACCTACGGAGGTACATCGCAAACTTCGGGAACTTATGGTGGAAGATCTGGTGGCCAGGATTCTATAACATATCACGAAACTTCTAGACACGAATCTCATGGATCTAGAAAACGTCCTACAATCGTTTACACATCCTCTGGTAGTCATTATGGACAAGAGTCTGTTCAGCAGGGACAATCTGCAACGTCCAATGTAGAAGGAGGCAGCCAAACGACGTTATCAGTTTCCGGAAGTGAAACGAAAGGACATTATGTGCCTCCGCATAGAAATGAAGATGGCAGTGTTTCTGGATCGGTTACCTATGTCGAAAGCCCTTACCCTGGTTATAGACCGCCACCACCTCGGCCGGAATTGTTAGAAGGTAATAACGGATACAGTTACGATTATGGAAGAGACCATAACAAGAATTTTAAAAGTTCAGTGACTTCTGATGAAGTCTACGGGCAAGACGAAAATAAACTTGGCTTTGAACAGAAACATAGTTTAGGACGTGTTCATCAAGAAAATAGGTACGAATTGGGTCATGGTGATGTGGAACTTCAAAGAAGGTTACAAGAAGAAGCAAGACGTCGTCAAGAAAGCCGTACGGGTTTCAGTCAGGAAGAAGGACATGTCAGTACCCATCAACACAGCGGAGGACGTGTTTATGATAGATATAACCATTCAAGATCAGAACAAGACGCAAGCAGTTATGGAATCGGCGCTGCTGCTCTCAACCCTCGTGGTTTTAAGACAACTACTGTTGAACTCCACCCCGTGCAGAGCGTCGATCAGCAAATAGACGGTTACGCAAGAACAAATCTGGAAGGACATTCTGGCGTATCAGCTTATGGTTCCGATAGCGGTATGATTGTAGAAGAACCCTTTGATTCTAAAGAAACATTCACCGTTGCTGGTCGTGGTGGTGAATCAAAATCATTCAGTTCTGGTTCTGGTTCATCGTACGGTGGTGGCTATGAGAAGCATTATGAAAGTAGATACTCGTCATCATCCAGGGGTTTGTTCCATTCTGCTACTGGGCGGGAAATTCCTAACGAGTCACCCCCTGGTGATAATGTACCTACAAGTAAGCCCGATCTTAGTAATCCTGTTCACAGAGGAAAACGACAAGCTCCAGGTGAATTGGGAGAAATCGATCTGGCTAGCATCCTCGAGTGTAAAGCTACAAAATGTATTCCCATACGATGCACTACCGGTCGTTTACTAAAAGATCAAGAAGTATTTATAGCTTTACGATCCCGCGTTAACGTTCACACTTTGAGAAATGTAAGTTATTGTTTTATGTTATGAAAAGAAGTACTTAATTAAAATTAAATTTCAGATTAGTGTAACGCAATCTATCACATTTTCATCTATGATGTTGGCAAGAATCAGTAAATTGCCATATATAGGCAAGCCAGTTGATAGACCAGTCCACACCCACGAAATTTTTACCACTGTTTCTGCCCCAGAACCGGAGATTAAGCCTGATATGGTTCCATTATGGGTCGTTGTATTATCAGCTGTTGCTGGAACTGCAATTCTCCTCCTTTTGGCCTTCCTATTATATAAGGTAAAAACTTCTTATTTTTGTTATTTTTTGAAAGTTTAATATGTTTCACGATCAGTAGTGTTTAAATTTGCTAAATGTAGTATTATTTTTATTGTGTCCGGAAATTAGGGAAAACTGCTGTGTGTGTAAGTAGTAATTAACTGTTATGGTTGTCTCTTTGTCGTCTCATTTTGCTTTCAACTTCATTCCAAATGTAAAGATCATGGGAACGATAACCTTTTATTTATGTATCTATCCGTAATTAATGTGTTATTTATGGTTTAGCGTTTTCTTTTCAATTTGGTAGTTCATTTTAAGAAACCAAGTTGAGAATTTTTTAATTCACCAACAAAAATTTAATTCTCATTAGCTTATTATTCTAAGTTGTAAATCATACTTTCAAATAATTCCAAGCAATGTTTGAATTTCTAAATCACATTCTGAAATGCTCTTTTGCTAATTTTAAAACTCATTTTGTATATGTATATTTAGTGTGTTCACATTGCTTTTTCACTTTTATCCTCTTACAGTAATTGATGGAATTAAGCAAGATATACGCACAAATTATTTCTTGAAGATTTGGAATTTAGAAAAAGATTGAAGTTTTCAGCTTTTAAATTTGTCTGTTTTATGGTACATTTTGCTCAGTTCTACTGTTTAAGTTAATGCTATTGACTACACTCTGTATATATCTAAAAAAGATGTAATCAAGTTGTTTTAAAATCGTTAAATTCCTGAATTTTACTTTTCAGTGTGGATTCTTTAAAAGAAACCGCCCTTCTAGCGCGCCCGAAAGACAACCTTTAAACCGAAACGGGCACTTCAACCATGGTGACGAAGCTCTTTGACAAAGTTCTGTGGAAGAAAACGTCAACGATGTACGATATTAACAACAACTAAAAGTACTAAAAATTTATAATGTTGAGAGTGAGAAAAGCTATGTGGTTATTTATTTTGTGTGTATGTATGTGCCCTGTGCAGCTTACAAAAACGAGAAATTTTCAATTATTTACAGCAAATTATCTACAAACGAAAAGCGACGTTTTTATTATTTTTTTTTTATTGCACTAATTGAGGATTAACCGTGTGCCTTAACTAAAAACGGTACAATGTATGTACTCTTATTACACTCTGGATGTTTTTCGTTAATTTTTTGCTTTAATTTTTACCGAATATCGTAAATAATGAATGAGTACTGCCAAATGAAAATATGTAAATACTAGTTTATTATAAATTAANACCTTAACCATTCATAATTAAACCTATTGTTGCAATTGACAAGTGTAGTCATAGATAATAGATATACAAAGGGTAGTTGAGTCTAGTCTAGGCAAGTGGTAGTATGGATCCGTGATAAAATAATAAGTTTAGCCGAAGTAAGTGTACCAGTGCCGTTTTGCCACCGGAAATAGTGTGTTGTTGCTAAAGGAAGGAATTATAACAATTAATTGGTAAGCAACAATATTAATCAAATATAGTGGTAATTTTTTATAGTAGTTGTGACAATTTTGTTTGTAGAATAAGTGGAGAGAATGTGTAGTCAGATTTTTTGTAAGCGTGTTTTCTACCCTCCCTTTTGAACCTAAAATTTTGCAGTTTCTGAATGTATAAATACTAGGTTACGTAACATAATTTTTCAAAATTTGTGTGAATTATAATTTAAATATCTCCTTGACCATATATTTTTTGTAAACATGTTTGCTTTTAAAATGTATAAGAAATAGTACAGGTACTTGGAAATAAATAAAAAAAAAAAGAAATTGGATACTGAAAGAAATCCACAAAATTAGTGCTAAATACCAATGCACAAAATAGAAAAATAAAATATAAACAGACACTAACAATAAAATAAAACAGAAATTTGAACCGCAATTAAATTAAATTCAATCATTATGGACAAATTCCCTTTTTCGTTTTGATTTATAGCTATCCAATTCTTTAGCGCATTCTTGCATGAGTAACATATGATCGAGTTTGTCAACAGTGTTTTTCAATTCAGACTCCCAATGCTCATCAGTACTTTTGCCTTCTCCTCCATCAATAGGCCTTGTAGCCAGTTGTTTAACTTTAAGCCGAAGATCATCAACATCTTCAACTTCTACATCATCTTTTTCACTAAAAGAAGAACCTGTAGTCTCCAAAGATGCCATGCTTCTGATTTCACATTTGTCTAGTTCAAAACTGATATTGGGTAATGGAGGATGTTTAGACCAAGTGGATGCTGATTTAGAACCCTGTTCTTCCAAATTGCCGAGTTCTGCCCCTACACCAGGCTCTCGAGGTTTATTTAAAATATCACTTTCCAAATCTTCATTAGCGTTCAGCCCTTTACGTTTCATATGTATTTCGTTGGATATTTGCTCAAGCTTTTTTAATGCTTCTGCATACGACTTCTTCGCATTAAATATACGATGTTGTAATGATTCAATTACTTCTTTTTGGGTATTTAGTTGTTGTTCACAGAGGGTTTTTTGCTCAAAATATGGCCTCGATTTGAGTATATGCCTATGAAGACGATCATCTAGTTCATGTACCTAAAAATTTAGATAAATACAAGTTAATACCATTTTAATATATCTTACAATTAATGAAATAGCAAACACAATTGTTGTTTTTATATAAAAGACACATAAAATTATGTGTTATCTTCACCTTCTGTTTGGCTGCTTCAAACAAAGTGGCTCGTTTCTGGTGTTCTTTTCCACTTTCCGCTTTTTGGTGTTCAGCCTCCATAACCTAAGGAAAACAAAACAGCCTTTATAATAAATAATGATAATAAACAAATAATAATTTAAGAAGTGCTTTACCTTAATTGTAGCATGGTTGAGCATTTCTTGCCATGCATTATCAAACTGCCACTCATGGCGATTGCTCATAAATCTCTGTTCTGCTAAAGCAACAGTTTCTTTAGCAGCAGCATGAATTTCTAGAAATATGAATCACAAACAATAATTACTTTAAATATTGAGTGAGATGTGACTTTATTACCATTTGCTCTTTGGAATGCTATGGCTGCCTTCTGGCATTCTTGTTGGGCCTTCTTTGCAACATCAAGAGCATCAAAATATGGCCTCGAACGATTTATTGACACTCCAATTTTTTTTGAAAGTGCTTTAAGCTTTTTAGAAGAGTCATTCAGTATCATACGAAAAGCTGTATTAGCTTCCTGTACCAAAAACAATTAACAGCTATAAACTGATTGAGGACAAGACAAATTTCAATTTTCTAATTACCAAAAGAAAGATTTACATACTTATCAACTATAAGGGAAAGTTAACCTAGTAGACACAGATATTTTCTAGAAGTAGATTTAAATCTGAATCTTAGCACTTACATCTAACTCAAGTTCAAGTTTATTAATCTCATCTGTTTCCGTGTTGAGTTTTTCTAGCTCAATTTGAATTCGGGGATCTAGTTCATTATTTTCTTCTTCCATAACAAAAGAGATATTTCCCTTCATACAGCACTACTTGTTAACTTCATTTCTTTTTCCTTGCTTTAAAAACCAAGATACCATAATTAACTTGTGAATATCGAAAAAATCTTCAAGGGAAAATGACGTTCGTTCTATTTCTGTACATCTCGCAATTTTAAAAGAGATACGTCACCATGTCAGCTGAATACTCCGGTGTTATAATATTGCAATCTAAAAATTTAAAATTATCAAGAAACTGAAATGTACTTAAAATTAAAAATTATCAGCTGATAATTAGCCAAAGATTACAACTTATAGAAAAAATTAACCTTTAACAGCCTGTAAATGAATAATTGCATTATATGTACTTACTGAAGTATTGCCTGTTAATACAATGTAAACGTATCCTTTTAGTAATAGCTGATGATCAAATATAAAGTATTTTCGTGTATCTTGCAATTTGTAAATAATTTCATAAATTACACTTTTAACATTTACACCTGCCAAACATACCAAGCACTAACGAGAACTAATTTGCACTTTTAGCCAGTCTTAAACAATACGCTAGAAACTAAAATTTCTTGGTAGTCTTATTTATTGCAAAGTAATTATTTTGAATTTATAATTAATTTAAATAAACGTAAACATCAAAACAAACGCATCCTATTCATATTTTGATTTTGGGAGTGAAATGACAACCATAATAATTGACCTCTACGTCTGTCTATGTCTATGTGATTCTCAGCTTAGGTGAGCCTGTTGCCTGTGGGAGGTCTTCTTCCATAGAAGTGACTTTTTCGTACTTCCGTCAGAGAAGACTTCCGTTCGTCACATCTTTAATTACAGTTGACGTAAATGTAATTTACTTTCACAAATATGAAATGTTTGTTTCTAATTATCGACTTCAACATTTTTATTTTACATACTTATTTTAAATCCTTTTTTTCAACTGCATTTTCTTCCCAGATCTATTCAATAATCAAGAATGGTAGAACTGAATGCAGTTTTTCCAATTTTAACTGAAGACAACCTTAACCATTCATAATTAAACCTATTGTTGCAATTGACAAGTGTAGTCATAGATAATAGATATACAAAGGGTAGTTGAGTCTAGTCTAGGCAAGTGGTAGTATGGATCCGTGATAAAATAATAAGTTTAGCCGAAGTAAGTGTACCAGTGCCGTTTTGCCACCGGAAATAGTGTGTTGTTGCTAAAGGAAGGAATTATAACAATTAATTGGTAAGCAACAATATTAATCAAATATAGTGGTAATTTTTTATAGTAGTTGTGACAATTTTGTTTGTAGAATAAGTGGACAGAATGTGTAGTCAGATTTTTTGTAAGCGTGTTTTCTACCCTCCCTTTTGAACCTAAAATTTTGCAGTTTCTGAATGTATAAATACTAGGTTACGTAACATAATTTTTCAAAATTTGTGTGAATTATAATTTAAATATCTCCTTGACCATATATTTTTTGGGTAATTTTTTACATTAGTTGACATTGGAATTGAGACATGAAGTTTAGTCAGGTAGGTAGTACTCACCAAGTAAAGTAGTGTAGTAGTATTTACTAGAATTTTGTTTATTATTTGTTTAAAAATGAATGTGAGTGAGATACAGGCCCTTAAAGTTTTCTTAATCGGAGGAAATACCGGTAGGTACGGCCCTGGCTTCAGCCTTCCGTCAGCTGTTCCCGCCAAACATCGTTTGTCCTAAAACATATCTTCCTAACATTATTCTAATGTATCAGCCCGCCTTCGGCGGGCAGGGGCATTAAACAAACTCGAGTCTGTCATACATCTACCTAACTAAACAATGACGTCATCAATGCATATTTGGCGAGAACAGCTGACGAAGGGCTGCAGCCAGGGCCGTACCAATCGAAATTTCTTCCGATTAAATAACTTTAGGAGCCTGTATCTCAAGCTCCATTGGTTTCCGCACGGAATTAATGCTACCACACGATTCTACTTAGTGAGTACTACCTACCTGACTAAACTTCATGTCTCAATTCCAATGTCAACTAATGTAAAAAATGACCATTTTTTGTAAACATGTTTGTGGTAATGTTGTCCTGTTCATAATGTTTTATTGTTATATCTAAAAAATGTATGGTCAGGGAGATATTTAAATTATAATTCACATTCACCGAGTAAATATAAAGAAAATGTTATTACTGCACTTACTGACAGAGCAGTAATCTTATCAAATCCAGCATATAGACCAGATAAATATAAAAAAAGTACGAAACATTTTAAACGAAACCTATAATTAAAAGAAGAATTCACTAAATTTACAATCTCTTAAACACAAACCAGAATATAAAAAACAGCAATTATACCTCATTACCATACATTCCTGAAATCAATAACAAAATATCAAACATTTTAAAATTTCTAAAAGTTTATTTCACTAATTTAAAACCACCGTTACCAAAAACTGACATTGGATAAACGAAGCAATACTTAGAAAAACGTAATATGAACACTGATATATTTTAAAAAACATAAACAAAACAAAAACAGCATTATCAGAATATGCATTAAATAACCAGCATAATTTTAATTTCAAAGTACCTGAAATTTTGGACCGGGAATGCAATTATAAAAAATGAATTATCAAAGAAATGATACACATAAAAGAAATACCTAAACTCTGTAAACTTGATACAGATAATTTAGAAAATATTTATAATAATTTTAACATAAACCATAAATAAAATAATAGAACAGATACAACTTTAACAAAATATATTATAAAACTTATATTTATATTTTACAGACAAATGTATAACATCTAACTAGTAGAACTGTAAGTAAAAAACAAAATTGTTTCAGTCTGATGATGGTTAAATAATGCGAAACTTTACAAAAACATATAGTTGTGTAATTATTTGACCGCCACCCTGGAAAAAACTACATAATTTTATTTAAAATTCATTTGTCAGATTTTGATAAATAATTGTGTTTGATGAGGAAGGGCACTAAATATGTAAAGTCAAATTTTTTGTAGCTATACTCTCTACCTGACTTTTTCAACCTGAAATTTTGCAATTTCTGAAAGTAAAACTTGCAGCCTTCGGCTCCCTGTTTCTTCCCTCGATACGTAATGTACTATTTTATGAAAATTCCAATCACTTGTGCATCTATCGGTCCTCACAGCTGATTTTCTCAAAATTAAAAATTATATTTCCCTTCATACAGCACTACTTGTTAACTTCATTTCTTTTTCCTTGCTTTAAAAACCAAGATACCATAATTAACTTGTGAATATCGAAAAAATCTTCAAGGGAAAATGACGTTCGTTCTATTTCTGTACATCTCGCAATTTTAAAAGAGATANGTTTCTTCCCTCGATACGTAATGTACTATTTTATGAAAATTCCAATCACTTGTGCATCTATCGGTCCTCACAGCTGATTTTCTCAAAATTAAAAATTATGTTTTATTTCGCAAGTTGTAGCCTCTGAGAGTTTTATTAAAAGTATCTACTTTTTAAAAAAATTTTTAGAAAAATTCAATAGATGCATAGTTGAAAATATAGAAAAGGTCTTCATGGTTTTTGTATTGCATTTCAAATAAATTGGCAACAACAACCCAAACTACTTAATGTCGTTTTCTTACGAATATTTAGAAATTTGTTTTGTTAAGTTCCTTCAAATATGAAAGTCGACTAAACTGCACATGTATGCATCTGGAAATTTTGAGAAATGGATGATAATCTATAAATTTTAGGTTTTTAAAAATGCCGAAATGACAATAATTTTTTCATTGTTTATGCATACATGTTGAAATGTGCGTTATCTTTCGGCGTGGTCGAGCAAGAAAATTGGTGACTTGTTCGTATATGGTGGCCACAAAACTGGAAAGCCTGGAAATGTTAGGGGATTTCCAATTTACTGGAAAAGTCAGGGGATTTCTCCCAAATCATGGAAAAAATCAAAAATTTTAATTATGTTTATTTAACAATATTCATTCAAATGGAGTGTTGTTCCCTTTCTTAGATCATTATACAATTTATTTAAACATGTACCTTCACGTCGAGCTAATTACACTCACTACTCAAATTCAAAAGTTCTAAAGAAATTTTGTGAATGTAACTGTGAGTGCCACTATTGAAATTTTACCTTTTATCATAAAATATGTTGAAGATATTTTGTTTATAACAATTAAAGGACGAAATCAGCGTCATTTTAAAGATAGTCATATAAAATTTTTAATACAAATTGCACTTCATCAGCATGATGTGATGCTTTAAAGTTTAACATTATTTTAAAGCGGATAAGAATACTGAGGAGGGGATATCTAAAATTCGAACTTCTAAAGATAAAGTATATCCCGTATTTCAGGCATAATATTAACGTCCCGCCGGGACAGACACTGTCCCGTATTTAAACCTTAATTTAACTATTATGAAATCTATCGCACTACGCTTCATGTACTTGGCATTCCTTCAGAATGTAATGCTTTTAATAGGAAATAATAAAAAAGATTGAAGTAGATTCAATTCAAGTTAATTATCGTTAACAATAAAATAATAACAAATCTGGTGAATAATATTAAATTGCTCCAGCAGATTTCGATTAAAACAATAAATGTATGTACATGGAGAAGGTAAAAAGGGTTAGAAATGTGGATAAGCAGAGCCCCACTCGCTTCTTTCTATTGGCCGTGGAATTTGATCAAATTATATTTACAAATTGATTTTTGATTTCCATAATATTTTATTGCTTTTGTTTTTTTTTTTTTGATAATACTATTTTAAAACTTTCTAATTTTTCACACTTATGAACTGTAGTAGTTATCTATTGAATTTCATAGTCAATTATTTGCTTGGTAGATGTCATATAATAAAACAAAATATAAAGCTAACGTTAAATTATTTCAACAGGATGTCATTTAG